TGTGTGTATCTGTGTGTTTGTGCATGTGTCTATGTGTGTTTGTATGTACGTGTTATGTGTGTGTGTGTGTCTACGTGTGTGTGTGTGTGCGCGTGTGTCTGCGTGTGTGTGTGTGTGCGCGTGTGTCTGCGTGTGTACACACATGCACATGAGCAAACCCCACTGCTGTCTCCCAGCTCACTGCAGTAGTGGGTTAGTCCCCATCCTACCTGAGCAATTACAGCCCCCGACAAGTGTGGCTTCGGGTCACATGGACAGCACCATGCACCTGAGCAATGACAGGAAATTCCCAGGGAACAGTGAGCCCTCCAAGCAGGGCCAGACGCAGTGAGGCAGCTCTTCCTGAGGTCCTGTTGGTTCTCCTTGTTAAAAGAACACACTAAGTAAAAGAGACATGGGCTCCCTGAGTTTGCTGATGCGTCCGGCCGCCGGGCCACTGCAAGTGCCAGCACTTTCCTCATCACTCATTGATTTATTGATGCTGTAAAGTCTAAGAGTAATCATTGCCACTAAAATGCAAACTGCATCAGTGAACAGTCTTTGTAACATTGAGAACCTTCGATTTTTAAAAATGTTTTTTTTTCCTTCTCCTGTTTCAGCTGAGAATTAAGACGAGCATTAAAAACATCTTGGGTGTAATAAAGGCCTTAGCCAAACATGACCATATCCTTCCCTTTTTTGCTTGTCTTTTTTCGTCTAAGCTATTGACTAACGATTACGTCTGACATATCGAGAGCTGTGTGACCCCTGTTCTGAAGAAGAGCTGCATTTAACCCTGCAGTTTCATAAAGGATAGATTTTTGCCGCAGAACATCCCCCTTGCCTGCGACGGCCTATTCCAGAAATGCCTGAGACCTCGCCACTCTCCACAATGTCTATGGTCTGGGGTATTTTGAGGAGCACAGATCTATAGACAGACACCATGTACAGATACAAATCTGTTTCATATTACTAAAGCATTACTGAAGTTTCATCTTACTGAACAGTTTTCAGTTACATACAGCATCTGCTCTTCCCCACAAAGCTATTTTCAGACACTCTCAAGCAAAATGGCGTTTATATTTTTGGCCCCGGGCCAGTATCTGCTGGCCACTAGCACCCGACAGTACATTATGCCCTTCAAATGGACAGGCTTAGTCATCCAAGTGACGGCATATTGCTACCACTAGTTCTCAGGGTTTTTTTTTTTAATTGTTCACCTCTGAAAAGGCTTTCAAAACTTAAGTCAGCAATTTGCCTGTGGATCCAGACAAAAGCAGACCAACTGACAGGAGGTTTTATTTAAAGGATTTGCCTTGATTGTCTTGCTGGCCCCTCAGTCTCTTCAACATTTAATTCCGTCACCAGACTCATTGATTCTGATGTCGTTCAGCTTTTAAGTTCTTGGGTGGACGGCGATTAGTGTTTAAGGGAGACAGACAGTGAGGAAAGTGGACTTGCCTGGGCTTTGCAACCTTACGCATTCCTTTCAGAAGAAGCTTCTGTTCTGGCTTCTGCTTGTTGCCATTTCAGGAAATGCCAATGAGTGCTGGAAAGCCAAACCTTTTTCCTTCAAGGTCCTGAGAATAGAATGAATCGCTGCCCTCACAGCAAGGCATTCATGCCAGGGAAGAGCTGGGTGGCAAGTGAGATCCACAGAATTCAGCAGTTCGGCTTGGTCCTTCACGGGTTTGATTATGGACAGACCACTACCAATAAAGCCTTCTGTCCTGTCACCAATCAGGCCTTGAGGGCAGTGCCCTGTTTTTATCACAGCTATACTTTGCTGTTCTGTAGTTTAATTTCTCCTGAAGGTTCTGAAACATGTTATTTTTCTGGACGTCATGCTGAGTGGTTCAGGGGAACAATACAATCACCCTAACACAGACTGCTGGTTCTTTTTCTGAGAATCCCAGCCCTACCATCTATTCCAATTTAAAATTGACTGGACCTTGTACACAAACCGGGGTGACAAACGTGGATTTCACAAATGTGATTCAGATCTTTTTCTGTGTTTTGTGAATATGGCTCTTCCATTGATCTGCTGAAATTGCTACCTTGAGAGAGCAAAGTGCTGTATCCCTTGAATCTGCTGTGTGATGCAAAATGGCTCAGGTAAATGTTTCTGTGTGCAGAACTAAACAGATCATTGTATCTGTTCCACTCTATGTGGACTTTTTGGGGAGAGGAAGTCATTGTGTATGCGCTGGGGATGGTGAGGAACCCTTACTTTAATGGAGACAGATTGTAGCAGCAGGGGCAAGACGTCCGCGTTTCCTCCAGTCATTGTAAATAGCTTATCTTTGCAAAGAAGCAGGATGCTTTTTTAAAGGTCATCTCAAGCTTGGGGCAGCACTACAGCCAGTCTGCGACAAGCGAGCAGAGAAACTCCATCCTCCAATTGCGACGTTGGTTCTGCTCTGCCGACTGCTGGGTGCACTGTGTCTGTTCTGTCAAATTAATTGCTAGGAACGTGTCAGGGATCAGAAGAGAACCTGAACCACCACCCAGTACTGAGCAAGGCATGTTGACTGTCCCTACGCGGTGCTAACTCTACTGCAGTCAACCATTAGCGATCTGGTTAACGTTGGCTTGAGAGAGAGAGATCTTCTCTGTTTTTGCCCTGCTCTGCCATTGGTGCTGAAACTCTTCATTTGAGCATGGAAAGTCCATCCTGTGAAGCTGGTTCTAGAGCAAATGATTTACTTTTTTGGAACTAAGCATTTACTTCCAAATGCTTAGTGTTAAGATATTTTACAGAGTGTGTATAAGGGGTGGGGTGTGGGGTACCAGCTGCTAGTGAGAATCTCAATGTTTCTGTTTTGGTGGACGCTGATCTAGATGGTTCACTCTTACCACAGTGGATTAGCAGTAGTTGGGGGGACAGAACATGATGATGTTTGCCCAGATTATGGATTGGACAGTTAGTCTATACTTCCCAGCTGTTCCTTTTACCTCAGCAAGAAACGCTGACTAAAACTGGTTATGTAGTGGCCAAGCCCAGAAGAACCTCTCAGGGGTCCTTTGGGCCTATTTGTCGATATAGTATGTATTGGTCTAAGGTCAGAAAATGTCTCAAGTCATGCCCTTTATAGGTTGTCAGCAAGAGGCCAAGGAAGACACAAGTCAATTCAATTTATCACACCCAGTCATATATGCTGTTCCCAACCTACAGATCAGTGATCCTGGCATTTATAAGAAATGCTGGTGTCTGACTCACCAATATTTGGCTTAGTGGGGGTCATTATGGTCTCACTCTTCCAGGGTTATGGGTTTGATTGCCTGCTTTTTGCATGTAGAATTTGCATGTGCTTAATTGTCTTGCAGTTTGTTTGGGGTTGCATTGGGTAAACCTGTTGTCCTTACATAGGATATAAAGATATGAATGAAGTTATGGTCTCGGTAACACTTTAACTTAACTTTTTAAGCTCCCATCTTTAATACATTACAGATACCTTCATAATGCGTTATAATAATTGGTATTAGAATTATTAAAGCATTACAGCATCTTCTACTGACAGTCATAAGGCATTATAGAGTTGATTACTCTATTGAGTAATTGATACTTCATAAGCTCCAATAACTCCCATGTTTAATGCACTATAGATACCTTCATAATGCATTACAATCATTGGTATAAGAATTAAGGATGCTTTGTACTGCATTATGAAGGTATCTACAGTGCATTATACATGAGAGCTTTATAAAGCATTCATAAAGCATTACAAACATGGGTATAATGTGTTATGCCATTTTATCAGTATTTATAGCCATGTTTATGAATGCATTATAATATGTGTGTTCATAGATTCTTATACAGTACACATGGCATTCGTGGAAACTGTTACTAAAAGTTTTTACTTGAGTGTATGCCGCCCATAGTGATTTTTAATTTGACTTTCAGCGACACTTTGGTGGCTTGGGGGGTGACCCAGTGGTTTAGGCAGGATTGGGGTTTTGGTTCCGGTTCCGGTTTGTATGCTCGCACAGGTTTCTTATGGGAACTCCCTGCCTGGTGCCCTGTGTTTCCTGGGAAGGGTTGTTGGGTTTACAGTGAGGACAGACACATTAACTATCCGGAGGCTGGCCAATAGTGTAGCCAGTGGTTTGCTGAGAAGTATAATGACTCTGGAAGCTCCCAGATTTTTTTTGTGCCTGAGGGAATCCTCTACTCAGCATCTACTGTAGTGGAAGAATGGGCACAATGGCTGATATTTTTCATTTGACCGGGAGGAAATTGAAAGAGCTGGAGTTTTATTGTCCCACTCATAAGCTTGGTGTAGACTTTAATCGCTCCGTAGCCCGAGAGCGTATGTTCTCCGTACATGAGTATCCCGGTACAGCAAGTCACAGGAAGGCTCCTCAGCCTCTACCCACGTGCATTTGGAGTCTCTGAAGATGCTGATCTGCTGTGTTACTACCTGTAAATTCTCTTTTGTTTTCCAGGAAGCCTCATTCTCCTTGGGATATAGGGAATGGATCTAAAGCAACTTAAAATATAAAAACCAGTCATCCCTCTAGTACCAGCAACTGGTCTGAAGTGCTTCAAGTACCAGCAAGCGGAGAAGGAATTCTGAAGTGGGCGCCGAAGTTCTTGTTATTGGTCCCCTTAAATTGCTTCTGCATTTTTTAGTTTCGTGTTGTATACTTGTCTGAGCTTTCCTAATAAAAATACATCTGTCCTATTTGCCTGTAAGGTGTATCTTTGTCACATGTTTGAGGAACAAAACAGATCTTTTCGAGCCATTTTCATGAGTCTAAGAAGAGACAGTGTCAACAATGATAATAGTTAAAGCGCATACCAGTATGGGAGATGGGGGGGGGGGGGGTTAACGGGGTGGCAGGTGCCCTCAGCTCTGTTTGGCATCACCATCACCTGTCAGTTCATGGACATACCCAGAGCGTCGGGGGGGCCGGGGGCCGGGGGCCAGCCAGGCAGGGGTGTAGGTGGAGGGTCTAGCTTAAGGAGATGGGACAGGCACATAAGCCCAGAGCACTGAGAGCTGCTAGCTTGAGGGCATTTGGGCAAACTGACAGAGCACTTCTGCTAAGCTCTGGCCCTGAAGGAAACTCCAGAGGTGGATAACAGGAAGTGTGTGCTGGGTTTTTCTGTGCATAGCCCTTATATAATGGCTGTTAAACTTCTAAGATATTCGTAACGTTGTACCTACTTTTCGTTAAGCCGTTAAACCAGAAATTCTCATATAATCCTTTTAAAGATTAACCTGGTCACACGTTTGGAATCGAAATGAAGAGATTATGTGGTTTTCTGTTGCCTTTCGGGGCACTAAGTAGCAGCGCATAAGTTATGGGTTTGTCCACCACACACGTTAGACGATTCCAGGGGGGGGTTTGTGTTTAACCCAGTTGTTTTTTCTCTTGCAGGTGTCCCAAGAATCGAATTGTGCCACCGTCACACTTTGATGAAAATGAGACCTTTGGCAGCCCTGCTTGTGACGCTCCTACCCGTGATGCAAGCCGGTAGGTTTCAGAAGGCGGGGAAGCCTTATCGTCCCTGCCCTGCACACACTCAGCTCAGTCTTGTCACCATGTCTGTTTGACAGTAGCGTAAACAGATCTTTGATCCCGTATGGTTGTCATTGTCAGGTTTCCTTCAGCCCTACTGACCCGGAGTAACTGCTCTGCTCTGGTTAAATAGCTCTCTCTTGAGCGCTTTTCCAGTCTATATGCCAAATTCAGTCTAAACAGGAAAAAAGGTGAGAAATACAGGGGCGGGCTCGTTTTCTGTGTGCACCCTTGGCAGTGAAGACTGCGGGAGAGGGGAAAGGAAAACATGACAAACCTTAAATTAAGGCAGCACTTTCCCTCACTTGCCCTTTTATCTCCAGAGCAGAATGCTGTGGGGGCTGTTGTTTGTGTCCAAGGTTGGTGCTCGAACATCAGCATGTGTGGCTCCTTGGGCTTAAAACCTGCTCCTAATCACACTTTATGTATTAATAGTCGCCTTCCCACCAAATGGACCTCATATATATTTATAGATTGCCCTTTTGTGCATTTGGGTATTTCCTCTGGCAACGCTGGGTTCAGAGCCCGGCTGTGCTCATCCGCCTGGCGTGCAGAGTGAGGAGCGAGGAGCAGTGCTTCAACTCAGAAGGGCCATGAATCTAATCTGGAACATTACTGGTCAAGCATACACGTGCATTCTGCTTTTTTAGCCAAACCTATCATTCTGTAATTACAGGATGGTGTCCCATTAAGGTGGAAAGTCGCTAACCTCCCCTGTACAACAACCACCCATTCTGCTGATAGTGTTTGTTGCAGGACATCGCATAACATTGTGCTTAATTATTAACCTGCACCAGCAGTGGGTGTGGATTAAATAAGAATTTCTTCTGATTAATTGGGGTGTCCACATACTTTTGGCCATGTAGTGTATGAGTGCTTTAGCAAGTCAAATGTAAGTCAGGTATGTATTTGTGTGTTAATTGATACATTGTCGTGGTTTTTTTCCGGTGTTTTCTTACACTTTTAGTCCCCTTTTTCCAGCAGAGAGGTTGCCGCTGGTCCGGGGCTTTGTCTAACATCGGGAGAGGGCTCTAGTGCCTTTCTTGATCCCACGCATCTCTGACTTCCTCGTGAAGTATATGCCACTGGAGAGCAGATGAATTAATGATGTGTTTGTTAATTTAGAATCACTGGTTTGTCGTTCACCTTTTGTGGAGCATTAATGGGGAGGGGGTGTGTCGTGGCAGCTTGTCCAGATCACGAGTCCGGCCTGAATCCATGGAATCCTGGACATAACGAAGCACACCGGGTCTCCATTGGCTACGGCCAAAGAGTCGTCCTTGCATCCTCAGCCACAGTCCATTCCATCGAGATACTCGACGGAGGTAGGAACGTCCCGCCATCTCCATTGTCAGAAAGCCTTTCTAACGCCAAAATAACAGATCAGTCGGAGAGATCTTCTCACCCGGATTAAGGTTATGGGGGGGTCTCTTCCAAAAATGGCATCGGTGATTCATCAGATTTCAGGTTTCACGTTCCTTCTGGCTGTGTCTTGTGAGTTCTGTGCAGTTTCGGCGGCAGATGTTGCATCTCGGTGCCATTTGCTGCCCAGAGGATGCTGCAGTGTGAATGCGTCGCTCTTTCCAGGGAAGCTTGTGATAGCAGACACCGGCCAGCCGATCGTTCTACGGACAAAGCACATTCTTATTGGGAAGCAGGGCGAGCTCCACGTCGGCAGCCAGGATTGTCCTTACAAGGGCAACCTCACCATAGTTCTGTACGGCAGGTGTGTGGAAGTCAAGGCTCAGCTGGGGGTTGGTACTAGTTCCGAGTCCAGTTTGACAGTAGATGGGTCATTATTTTCACTTCCTTCTCCTCTTTGCTTTGTTTTCTGACAGGTCTGATGACACTGACATAGAGCACAGCTACTTTGGACGAAAGTACATTGGGGTCGGCACAGGCGGTACCCTGGAAATTCATGGGGAGAAGAAGCTGTCGTGGACGTTCCTAAACAAAACCCTCCGACCCGGGGTGGCCAACGAGGAGACCTGTCACTTTGAGAAGGGATGGGGCAACCGGGGGATCATCGTGCACGTAGTGGATCCCAAAACGGGGGGGGTACTGCACACTGATAGGTCAGTTTCTTGGTATCCTGGACATGCTGACTGGGCACTGAGGCTTTCTGATTGGTTAAGTGGAAGTCTTACATAGGAGTTGGCCTATTAACTGCCCTTCTCTGCTTTTTACCAGGTCCTATATTGCAGGGGTGGGCAATCTTATTCGCAAAGAGCCACTGTGTATGCAGGTTTTCGCTGCAATTAGATTACTAATTAGAGGACTGATTGGCTGAAGAATCCTCACACCTGGGTTTGAACAGCTGACCTAAAGGTCACCCCAAAAACCTGCACACACACCGGCCCTTTGCAGATAAGATTGTCCAGCCCTGCTGTATTGTGTGATTACATGTTTAAGCGACTATACAATAACTGGAAGTCAACTTTGTGATCCAGTCACAAAGCAAATTTATAGCACACTAGTTCATAACTAAACAGGATTGTATTATCTATGTCATCTAAATATTTGCCTGATTAATATTTTTATGTTAAAACTTATCACCTCCTTGGGGACCTGCCAGGGGTTGTCAGAAGCATTTTGAATGTGGGGGGAACACACTAGCGGGGGGTCTGGGGACCCTCCCCCAGAATTTTTTTTAATGAATTACATGCCATTTACTGCAAAACCCCGATTGATCTTTCAGTGGTATGTATATTCTCATATCGATCAAGTGGAATGGATTCTTTCGCGAAGCAATAGAAACAGCGCTGGGTGAACTAATATTTTATGTTAAATGTGAGGGGGTCCAAACGAATAATTATTAAATGTGAGGGGGACACGTCCCCCTCAGATTTAATGGCGGCGACGCCCATGGGACCCGCAGACAGTCCACATTTTTGCTCCCTCCTAACTCTCTACCAGACAGTCCACATTTTTACTCCCTCCTAACTCTCTACCAGACAGTCCACATTTTTACTCCCTCCTAACTCTCTACCAGACAGTCCACATTTTTGCTCCCTCCTAACTTGTTGGAAAGTTGGCCTCCTATTATGGTGCCAAGTGGAAAGTCCCCAGTACAACAACCACCCATTCTGCTGATAATACCGTCAATATTGTGGACCTGGACTGTCTGCGGGTCTCCGAATACTAGGCTGGGAAATGCTGACCTAGTCCATTCAGCTTGGTGTTGCTCAAAGAGCCGTGTCTTTTGCAGGTTTGATACATACAGGAGCAAGAACGAGAGCCAACGCCTGGCCCAGTATGTGGATCTGGTACAGGAGGGCCTGATACTGGCCATGGTGGTGAATGATGAAGGTTCCAACAACCTGGAGGACTCAGCTAAGAAGACCTTGGCCGCACTTGGCAGCCAGCACTTCCACAGCCTGGGATTCCGGTGAGAATCTGTCTGCACCTGGAAAACTAATAGTATTCACTTCCATATCGGGATTATTTCAATAAAAATATCTGGCCTTACAGAAAGAAAATTACCTTTCTTATGTTTTGATTTGTGAGACCCATGCATCTAGAATGAAATCTTTTTATTCGTTTGACTATTGCAGGTTTTTTTGTCATCGAAAATATTCCCACCTCTAAGTGTATTGTTATTGCTGCTAAGATCTCCTTCCTAACCAGAAGTCTGACAGAAGCCACATGCTTTGCTGTGAAAGGCTTTTGCTTTGCAGCCGTAGGAAACTTACCGTCATGGTAGAGTTTGAATTTTATGAAAGCACTTCAGCTGATTTCATTGCTGGTGCTTTACTGCGTCTTGGGAGAGAGCCATGAACATTTGCATATAAGCATTTCCACGTGAGCTTAACTCATGGCAGGACTGGCAGGAGATGTTGCCCACTGCTTTGTCTCCTGTCCTCCGCCTGCTGGCCAGCTCATTAAGTCGTTTATAGCTGTTATCTGCTTCCTTCCATGAATATTTTTGAAGCGACGAGATGCTAGAGATGCAAAGAAAAGGAAGCTTGACTCCCCCGAGTGTAAATGGCTATTTACATCCATTAGGAGACTCGTCAACATCGTGCATCTTAATCAAAGTGGTTCAGTTGCAGCATTGGTCTCCTGTGGTTAATAGAAGCTTAGATTGTCCTGGCTGTTGACCTGTCTCTTCTCTGTGGTGTCTGGCCCTCCCCACAAAGACCCAGAGAACCCCGTAGCGTAATTCACCGCTCTTTGTACTCTAGCTAGCTGGGACTAACACTTTCAATATCCTAGCCCAGGGGATCTCACACTTTTTGACCAAAGGTCTGCAACACATTTTTGTTCAAATTCATAGGTCTGGACAATTTTCAATACCAAAATAGCATTTCATGAAATTTAATGAATTAATAACTTTCTGTATTAGACATCAATATACTGCATAACAATAAGGGGAACGTAATATAAAGGCTGGTTTAATGCTCGCTGATCGTGTCTCTTCTCTGTCACTGGGGGGGGGGGGGGACTGTGACGAGTTATGGGTGTGTAAGGTTTGGTGATTCTATATTTCATTTTTATACTTCAAACCACATTAAGCCTTTGGGGTGATGGTGGTGCAGGAGGTAGTGCTACCGGTCAGCAACCAGAGGGTTGCAGGTTCACAACCCAGGTCCTCCTGACCCCATCAAAGTGTCCTTGAGCAAGACACTGTACCCCAAATTGCTCCCAGTGTGCAGGTTGGTGCCTTGCATGGTGCCTCCCCCACCAGTGTGTGAGTGTGAATGTGAATGTGAGGCATAACTGTAAAGTGATTTGAGTACTCAAAAAAGTAGCAGAAATGCACTATATAAATGCAATCATTTATAGTGTATCAATTTACCATTTTTACACTAACCATATTGATTCATAAAGCTCATTATCGGCTGGGCTGATTAAAATGTGGTTTTGTCCATATCCGTACTGCGGTCTGGACTTTGAGATCCCCTGTCCTCTTCGTTTTCGATGCTTTCCTTCTCATTTCACCTTTTTTTCTACCCAATTCTAATCCTGCTTCCCTTAGTCATCCTTGGAGTTTCATCACGGTAAAAGGGGAGCCGTCATCCTCTGTAGAAGATCACGCCGTCTACCAAGGTAAAGCTCACTCTGATTCTGCTCCCCTGAGCCAGGGGTCTCCAGCTGCTCCAACGTGAACCTCTGTGAATTCCTCCAGGAACCAAGGCCTCGTCAGAGGCGAGGAGCTCCCGGCTATTCCAGCTGGGATACGGGGAGTACTTTACCATCACGGGCAGAAGCCAGTGGGTACAAGGTACAGTAGCTAGGCCACGACTTCTCCAGGCTCCACCTGCTAACACCCTCAAGATACAGACTGACCAGCCTTTGGTTCCATCTAACCAATAATAAACACCACCTCTGCTTCCACTACCTGTTATCTCTCGCCTTGCATGGGGTCATTCTGCCCTCTTCTGCAGCAGCTCCTTAGTCAGTGGTGGATTTAACATGCCTGTGAAGCCCTGTGTGTTTCTCAGTAGGCGCTTACCTTCCTGCGCCCACACAAGAACGTGGCTCTTTCCTCCAGAGGCAGAGTGGAGCGAGTGGTTTGACAGGGATGATGAGCGCGGTTCGGGGGACTGGGAGAAGCTGACAGAGCTGCGTAGGGTCTTCCCGGACCGTGTGTGCAGCAGCCCCTTGGACATGCAGGTAAGCCAGGTCAAGTCAAAATGATGTTTGCATAGTGTGCAGATATCATGGTATTAAAGGATGATGGGACAGCTTCCCGAAATAGAACCTGTTAAAGCGAATGTCATTCTCTAGCAGTCAGTCTTTTGGGATTTTGGGATATGTTTGAGATATATATTTAATAATCGATGGAAAATAATAATGTATAACACCTTTCTTGTTCAATCACTGCTTTTACAACCTTATTGACTAAAGAAAGATACTGACTGTAGATCTGCTGTTTCCTGTGTTGTTTAGCTCACATTATTAATGAATACTCTTTAATGTTTCCCCCTCAGGCCGAGACTCACGATGGAATCCCTTCAAATTTAACGCAGGAGGTGTTCCACAAGCACGACAAAGATTACGGCTTGGTGTGTCTCAACAGAGAGCAGCCAGATGGGATCTGCCACAACTACAGAGTTCGCTTTCTTTGCGGAAAACTTGGTATGTCTAGAATGTTCCGAGCTGCCAAGTTGGGCCGGCAGACCCTTGGCATTCTGCTGCTGAGCTCAGAAACTCCATACCAGCTGAAATACATTGTAAACAGCATGACAGTGCTGGGCCAAAGCATGACATGCTCTTGAGGAAACTTTGCTTTTGTAAGCACACACACACACACACACACACGCACACACACACACACACACACACAAACAAACAATTCTGGGTCCAGAGGTGGGTAGTCCATCCAATAGGCAATGTTTGCTTACATGCAACACTTATTTTTCTGAGAAGTCATATGGGGATAACAAACTTATGGGCAGCTTGACCTGATATTGCTGAAAAGTTATACCTATTGATCCTTCAGGTTTCAGAATGTACTGAGATCAGGATCAGGAGACCAAGCCAAAAATGCATGGTTTTCCCCTTACAAGGTTACACCTGACACATGCATAGAATGGTAGACCATATTGTTCACCAGGAGGTCATGCTAATTTAGAGGGTCGTCAGGTCCATGCATGAGACATTAATCGGACATTAAGAGCTGGAAACAGGAAGAGGTGCATTTGAGACGCTGCAGGTGTGTGTCTGTGTGGACTGAAAGACACTGTCGCCGGTCCGCAGTGAGGCCACATGCATCTGTCACCATTGAAAGCCACTCCAACACCAGCATACTGGACCTGGTTGATGACAACAGCAGCTGGAAGCCGGGAGACACGGTGGTGGTGGCCAGCACAGACTACTCCATGCACCAGGCCGAAGAGTTCCTCATCCTGCCCTGCCGGACATGTGCCAACAGCCAGGTCAAAGTGCAAGGTCAGTCCAGCTCTCTGGCTGGGAGCAAGTTCATCTTCCTGAGATGTCTGTCACTTACGCACGTTTTCATTTGGAAGGTTTCTGCAAATAGGAGCTGTATTTTCATCCTTAGAAATTCCAGTTTGTAATTTGGTTTTTAAATTAAGATTATACTTTAATGCAGCGCTCCTCAATTCCGGTCCCGGAGGCCAGTCCCCAACATACTTTGCAGATTTCTCTGCTCACACCTTATTCATCTCACCAGCCAATTACCAGCTTTAGTGGTTGTGTTCGAGCAGGGAAATCTGCAAAGTGTGTTACAGATTTGGCCCTCCAGGACCGGAATTGGGGAACCGTGCTTTTATGTATCGATAGTGTGACAGTGCATAATGAATGTCAACAACATGGTTTTCACAAAATATACCTTAGCAAACTATTCCTCCATGAGCTTGAAAGACATGGAACTCACCAGAAGGCCGGTGACCCTCTTCATAACCTACACCCTTGTCTTCCTAAGTTGTACCTGCAGTTCTTTATCCCACTGCACCATTGCAGTGTTTTTACCAGTACTCGCTGGTACATGAGTGGGTAGAGATCCAGAGGGATTGGATGACGCGTCCCGAGCCACCGTGAAGGCAGCGGCACGGTAGCTACAAACGGACACGTCTTCAGAAGTGCGTGGCTCTGTCATAATGCACCATGACAGTCACAAAAGGCTGACTCATTTCACAGCCGCCGTCTTTGAGGGTGTCATCAGCCCTGGAAGGGGCTTCTGTCAGCGCTGCATTCAGCTGGCCTTCCCCCCCCCTCCTGCTCACCGCCACGTTGGCTGCCCAAAGTAGTCCAAGTAGGCCAGAGTGCACCTAAATCGTCTCAGCAAAGTATGAAAAACTATTTCATCCCAATATTACATAAGTTGTTTGGGTTTTTCAGTTTCCGTTTTTTTGTTTTCTTCATGTGAGTCCAGATGGATAAGGATCTCCCACAGGCCCTTACTGAGGTAGAGTGTCCGTCAGCTTCTGAGCAAACCCAAAATAAATCAATCGCTATTAAAAAGCAGAGTAGCTCTTGTCGGCAAGGGACACAAGGTTGAACTAGGATCCACCGTACCATCACCTGTCAAGGAAATCAAAAAGTTTAAAAAATGTTCTGACTTTATGAGGAATAAAAGGAGTGTGTATTTTGTAGGATTAAAATTGTCCTTAAATAAAGTCAATATAATATATTTTTTCAAAGATTCAAATTCCTCAGATGCCTAAAGGGAAGATGGGCTTAAATTAAAAAACCTAATTTAAAAGTATCATTATCATTGACAGCGTTATTTGGAATTTGAACTATCTTTACTGTTCCTTTTGGCTGTCAGGCAGGATCCTTTGTTTACCTGCAATGGATGCAGTGCACACTGCGCTTTGTTTCTGCTCTGCACTTAAGGCAGTGATGCCAGTGAGTTGCTGAGTACAGTGCACTGCACTGTCAGCCAGATGGTGATTTATTCAGCCCTGCCAAATGAAAAGAAAGACGTTTGCCGCTTCTGACAAAACCGTGGAAAGCGAACACCATAATTTGAATATTCATAAAACGGTCTCTCGCTTTCTCCAGAATTAATTTAGACAGATTAGTTTTTCTTCTTTAAGTAGTCGTTAGACAACAATAGTGGGTTTTGCTTTTTTGTTCTGAAGTGCCATTTTCTGGCTCAGCGTTTCTTTGTTCTGCTCTGAAAGTCGCCTTCCTCCATATAATCATGAGAGCCTCACATCGCTGCTAGTTTGAACCAGTAATTGCCCAGTTGCTCTCTAAGGCAAAAGGAGCAGCACAAGTAGATGTAGCAGTTTGCACAGCCTCCACTGACCACACACCTCCCAGAATCCTTGGAGCTTCTCCTATGCCCAGTCCTCCCACTGGGCTTTTGGAAGAGTAGGTGGCTGCAGGTCCTGTTTGACTCACACGGCAGGCTGTGCTGAAATAGGGCTGAACACCCTCATGTTTAATGCTAAACAAGCGCTTAGGCCGGGACACGTTTTTACATGGTGCCGTTATTTGCTCAGGCTATTTATATGGTGTCATTGCGTGTGACACTCAGCCCCTCCGGACAGATTGACCCCCCCCCCCACAACGCTGAAGCGTTTGTCCTTGACTGTAAGTCGATGATGCTGAAAAAGGTGCACATCAGCTTGCCCAGGGCCCGCGGCTCCACACTGCAGTGGGACTTTGAGTGTCTACTTTTCTGTGCCTCTGTCTGTTCGGCGAGCTCAGGTGTTCGATTGGCCCCACATGCCGCAAGCTCGGCTGCCCACTGTGCAGATCAGAGTTTCCCAACCTGAGATCTGGGAGAGAGCAAAAATGTGGACTGTCTGTGGGCCCCTGAGGATCGGATTGGGAAAAACTGCTTTAGGTACCTGACTGGGAGTAAGGAGCAGCTTTGGTTTTAATCACTGCATCATCAAACTGGTTTTCGTGTAACTGAGAGCAGAGTCCTGGAGCATGTGGCAGACCAGCCTGCTGGAGTATCTGAGGTGCCGACTTCCCAATCCCATTCCTGCCACAGCAGGTTGATGTCCAGGACTCGTGGTCCAGGCAGGAGTAGCCGTTCACCTGTTTTGAGACTCAATAAAAAAAAAAATCCCTGCCACCCACCTGCTGGAGAACCAGTCTGAGCTGGTGTCACATCTCGTTATCTTCCAGGCACCTGCTTGCTCAATGGAGACACTTAGCCACCTCCCCCCCTTCCCCATTACCCATGAGTCTCCAGGTCAGTCCACCCGGAGTATCTCCTGGTCCTCTGAAGGACACGGGCCCCCCCGCCGGAGCACACACTGACTCCGGACACCAACGAGAAACACTAACGGTCAATTTCCTTGGACTTTCAGGCAAGCCGGCCTTCGTCCACATGGGGGAGGTGGTGGACGGAGTGGACATGAGGGCGGAGGTGGGCCTGCTGAGTCGCAACATCCTCATCAGGGGGGAGATGGAGGACGGCTGCTACGGCAGCGAGGCCTGCAAGTTCTTCCAGTTCGACACTTTTGGGGGGCACATAAAGGTGAGCGTCGCTGTCAGTGATCCTCATATCGCCCTGCAATACCAAGTCACACTTCTACCCAGTTAATGTTGAGTTATCATCTGTGGCCAGTAACTGTTATGGAGAGGAACCCTGGTGGAACGATAACAGCAACCCTAAAGAACATACTGTCAGGCTGTTTCTCAATACCAACCATGCAGGGATTGTACTTCTGGTCTTGGCGAGACCTGTCTTGCTAAGTTGCCTCCCAAGAACGAACTTGGGGTGCAGTGAATCATGGGATTGGTCTCGTTTGGTGAGGATACAACTGACGTATCTTTGATATTTGGTCCGGGCAAGAATGACATCTAGGGATTTTTATGATCCTCTGTAGTTCTGTTCTTGAGTATTGGAACTATTGTTCTGGAGTATTGGTCTTTGGCAACAGAAGATGACGTGAAACGGGTACACGAGAACAGGAGTACGGTCCCGCAGCCCCTTGACAGTCCCTGTCTTCCTGAGGAGGATGTCACAGCTATTAATTGTCTAGGTTTGCCCAGAGTTAGTGCACCGTCACTTGGTAATTGAGTATGGCAGGATGGTTTCAGATCACATTTTTGTTGTTGGGCGTTTGTGCTGCGCACTTTATACAGATTCAGTTATTTGAGATAAACGGGAAATATTTTAAGCAGCTGGGCGCCGGAGAGCATGAGCGCTAAAACTCCGTTTTCAACTTTTTAAAATTCACATGCCGAGGCAAGTACAAATGGCAGCCCTGCTTTTATGTGCTGCTGCTCATTAAGGAATATACCCCGGAGAAAGGTCTCCATGTGAGCACGACTGGGTTTGGTGAGCCGTCGGCTAAATTTAATGCAGTTTCCGCAAGAGAGTATCACATCGTTATGCATTTTAATCTGAATTCACGGGCATGATTGATGTGCCTCAGAAATACCCAAACCGTAAATTTCACACTTTCACACATACTGTACACTCGCACAAGTACTCAAATACACACACACACATCTAGGGACTGAGATACCTATGAGGTCGGTAATTCCCTGCCCTTCCACTAGGTGGAGCGTGGATTCAAAGCCATGCACATGCAGGGGGTGGAGCTTCAGCACATGGGCCAGCAGTCCATGGGTCACTACCCAGTGCACTTCCACATGAATGGAGACGTGGACGAGCGCGGGGGCTACGACCCAGCCACCTACGTACGTGACCTGTCCATCCACCACACGTTTTCTCGCTGCGTGACCATCCACGGCTCCAACGGCTTGCTGGTAAGTGGACCGGGCCAGACGTATCGCACTGGGCCTACAATTGTCAGGCTTCATCCCACGCCCATCTCTGAGCATGAAAAGCTGACGGAATGTATGTGCTCCGCGGACAGCAGGCTGCCGCGCGGCCGTGATTAACACCGTCATGCGTGACTCAGTATCTGTGAAACTCCGGGCTCTGTAAGTCGCTTAGGATACAAACTTTCGCAAAGCAGATAAATAAGGAATTATCCACAGCCGCACAGACATCTGCGGGCTTCTTTAAAATCCGCTCATTCATTTTTCAGCGTCCCGGAGATAGCGACGATGCTACCGAACCTTTTTAATTCCTCTTTAACGAGTCTCACAGGCAAGCGGCTGAACTTTAGCATCCTTATTTGTCTGGGAGACTGCGGCGGCGGACCCGCCGGGCGGCTGTGAGGCGATCCCGGGGGCGGAGTGCAGTCGCTCAGCGACACGCTGATGGGCTCTTGCATGGATGTGACTAACAAGCAGGCTCCTGCCCCCCCCTCCTGCGGCTTTTTCTCATTGCGCTCATTGTCATGTTCGATAGCCTGAGGCTCTTAGCATGGCCGTCAGTGCTAAGAGAAACCTTCCCCTTCCGGCGCTGTGCCGGACCCCGGGGAGCGGCGTGGCGCTGTTCTGAACCGCCCTCGTGCCCCCTGGTGGCCGGCAGGTGCAGGACGTGGTGGGTTACGACGCCCTGGGCCACTGCTTCTTCACGGAGGACGGTCCCGAGGAGAGGAACACCTTCAGCCACTGCCTGGGGCTTCTGGTGAAGGCGGGAACCCTGCTGCCTTCTGACCGTGACAGCCGCATGTGCCGGGACATCACCGAGGGCACCTTCCCGGGCTACGTGCCCAACCCGCGCCAGGACTGCAGGTGGGACACCCCCCCAATGCTATCCCATCGGCACAGTGCTGTCCATCCCATAATCCAGCATCGGTTAGGCATATCGTCAACCTGCAACAATTCTATGAATTAATAGAACGGCGGTACATTATTCATGGCTGTGGGGAAATTCTCTCTTCGTCTGTCCCATCTTACTCTCTATGAGTCGCACAGACACACATGCAGGTGAGAGAAAGGTTGGCGGTAACAGCACAGGGGCAGGAAGCATGCAGGGGTCGCCGGGGACGGGGGGGTCAAGGGCCTCGCTCAGGGGCCCAATGGCGGCATCAATCTGCCAGCCCCGGGATTCAAATCAGCGACCTTCCGGTATCAGTCCAGACCCTCTGGGTTACGCGCTGCCCTTCAGAGTCGTCCGTTTGTATAACATGGAGTGTTGGCACATCCATCTCACAGTCACCAGCCATAAAAATCCATTTTCCCTAATCTGTTAGGGCATGTTTTGAACATAAAGAATGGCCTCCCTGATAAACTTCACGGAATTTTAACAATTGAGCTTCCAATCAATCATAGTTTATGGGGATTAAATGCAATTATCATCAGTCTATTTCAGACTGATTGCCATTAAACCATAGATTTCAACTTCACCGTTAAACCGAGTGCCTCTGAGTCTTTGAGGAGGGGGGCGGACAGGGAAGCGGGGCTGTCACAGATTAAAAAATGAATTCCTGTGCTATGGGAAACAGCGATAGGACTGCGCGTTTCTCATTTCATTCACTGGCCCCGCAGGGTGCGTACTTCATAATAACTCCGAACACTTGGCTCCCACACAATACATTATTTCACTAATGACCCTTTTCTGTTTTTCTGAATACTATAATGATTTTTTTTGTCCTTCTTTGCTTGTGTTTTTTTTTCCTTTTTGTTAATGTTCCTGTTATTACATTTTAAGTTTAAATAAAGTTTAAAGTGTGAGAATATGTTATGAGCATATTTGATCTTGGTTGGTTTTGGTAAGCAAACGCTTGTTAGTTTGCATGGTCTTCTTATCCACTCAGGTGAATAGCCTTGTCTCAGATGGTCTGTGTGAGTCATGTCAGTCATGTGCTGCACTGACAGTCCATCCAGACTCTCACACCCCCTGCTGGAGGCTGGTCTCCAAGTTTGCCAGGAGGTCGAAATGTATATCCTCCTGAGACTCAAGGAAAAAAGTGTCCTTCAATTTTAGGTGATTTGTCTTTGGAGGAAATAAGACATCTTACAATTTAGATTTTTTCAAATTTATTTTTATTTTTAATTTCACAGCATGTCCTCTTTAGTGTACAACAGGAATAAATACGTTTCCTTACATGAGTGAAAAGATAGATGCAAAAACAAAATGTCCACTACAATGGACATAAATGAATGGGTGGGGTCTCAGGAGGATATGGGAGGGGTATATAAAATTCACGGTTTGGTACACACGTCGGTTTTGGGTTCGGTGCAGTTTTGGTACAGGAAGGAAAACAGAAGTAGTTCTGAGATTGTTTATTATTAAAACTGCATATACAATTTGGACCAGTTATAAACCAAACAAAAGGCAATGTGCCTGTCAACATGACCGAATAACAAAACTTAAAGATGTTTATTTGCACACTGTAAAATAAATTTGTAAAATTAATTAAAATGTAAGTATGTCACTGCATCATAGCAATCATAATGAACGAAATCCCATGTTCTCTATTACCAAGTGTGGTAGCCTGTAGTCTCTTATTATTATTTTTTTTGGCAAGATTGGAATTTCTTGGTGGAAGCGCCTTCAATGCCGCGGGGAGGCTGACTTGCAGAGGCTGTTTCTGTTTCGCTCTGGACTCACACACATTAGGATGCTGTTTTCTCAAACGAGTTAGCAAGCTGCATGTGTTCTGAGCAACATACCCACATACAGTAATAACATGGCGTCCAGCGTAACAGAGCCGGCATGCGGGCTTGGTCTTACCAGCTACTCTCTCCCCAGTGCTGTTGTAATTTATTGGGAAACCAAAATCTCCTCGAGCTACAGATGTAAGCTTTCGCTTTGCCGTTCTACCTGACTGTAACTATAGCACTGGCCATAACTAACTCACAGCCACAATTAGCATATTGTTTTCTGTGTTCAACATCTATCTTCAGTGGCAGTAAATGTTTTTATTCGTTTCATTGTGTGTTCTGAACTGAAAATGGTGTAACCGAATGGCGCATGACGAACGTTTACCGCTACAGCCTTAATATGCAGTGTTGTGTATGCGTGCAGCAGAGGTGAGTAGTTCAGGTCCAGTTCAACCAACCAGTTGAGTAGTCTGTGGCTCTTTATGATCAACTGGCTGGTTGAAACAAAATCTTGGTCTGGACTGTTACTCTATGGAACCTGAACTCCCCACCTCTGATGTACAGTATACTTAGTTATATTAATACTGCCTTACAGTGTGCCTGCAATAGAGGCATTTAGCCATAGAGAATAGTGACTACCTATTAGAACAGAATAGTGAATAACCATGCTCTGCAGTCTATGGATACTGCCCCCAAACTCGTGACAACAAGTTTGGTTCCCTGGGTCAGTGAAGTTCCTGTTTCCCACAATTCCTTGCTAACTGGAGCACCAGTGATTGTAATTACATTTTCTTTCACGTGCTTCTCGGCTGATTTTAAGCTGGCGGTAAATCATTTCTGTCTGGTGCTTTCTGATGAGTCCAGGGTTGGCGATGATGTGGGAAGGAGATATGGAACGTACGGGTGCAGATTTAGGGCAATGTAGTCTAATCAGAAGCCCTGTGTCTTTCCTCAGTGCCACTTCCACGTTCTGGATGGCCAACCCCAACAACAACCTCATCAACTGCGCTGCTGCAGGCTCTGAGGTGGGTGCAGCCTGATGCGGCTGAGCGGAGGCCCAGTCCGACAGGAGGGCCTGAATGGTCGACTGCTGATGTCTGTTCAATCAGTCTGAAAACAAACACAGTGAAAAACAAAAAAGATGGATTAAAGTGGCTGCTCAGCCCTCTGAGATGCCCTGTAGTTCACAGCCTTACGCCCAGATAACACTAAGGAGCTCAGAGCCTAGTACATCCTGAACTCATGTCATGGTCCTATTTATATGCAGCCATCATTACCGTGATGCAGGTTGTGTGCAGTGATCTTTATGCCATGGTCCTATATATATGCAGCCATCATTACCGTGATGTAGGTTGTGTGCAGTGATCTTTATGCCATGGTCTTATTTATATGCAGCCATCATTACCGTGATGTAGGTTGTGTGCAGTGATCTTTATGCCATGGTCTTATTTATATGCAGCCATCATTACCGTGATGTAGGTTGTGTGCAGTGATCTTTATGCCATGGTCCTATTTATATGCAGCCATCATTACCGTGATGTAAGTTGTGTGCAGTGATCTTTATGCTAT